TTCGTGCTGATAACGTGTTGTAAAATGAGAGAAAAATACTGTAATACTAAACAAGGAGGTAAGACAAATAGAAATATTAAGTAGAAGTATTCTTTGAACTTTTTAAATATGTATTTCATTAGGGTGAAAAGACTACCCTTTTATAGGATTTAGAAAACACCCTTTTACATCCTTCAATCAAATACGTTAGCACAACTTTTACATTAAATAGGTTCATTACGTTATGTTGTTGATGAAAAGAAACATCCACAATTCAATGGTTTTATAACAGTTTAGTTATTTTAATCATAAATTTGACACTAATTAATAAGGGTAAAAATAGAAAGTTATGCCTAATTTATATTTTAATCTTCTTTATTAAAGGATGTGAAACACCTCAACAATTCAATTAATTTGAAATGGAGGGAGTAATTAATAAAGGTGAAATAGTAAACACACGATGTCAATAGTTATTTTCTTAATAAGTGTATCAATTTAAAAATGGACAAGTAATTAAGAACATAGGAGAGTAACTTAATTACATGTTGAAATGTAAATGGGATGAGTACGGTGTGAATTAATATTAGCATTGATTGCAATAGCGACAATCCCCCATCTCTCATCATTGTGCATTACCTAATAGTAACGACTGTCATGGACGAAGAATAAGTTGGGATAAAAGGGACATATGCCAGATTTCTAGTTACTACCTCTTCATCTCTTATTATGTACTTTTGTCGATCACTTTAACTTGTTTAGTTTTTTTATTTTGGTTTTAATCTTACGTTAAATACTTATTCTTAATCATTTTTTCAAGTTATTAATGAAAAAGCACCAATAACGAGTATCATAATAAAATATGCAATTCATCTATCATCTCTTTTTAAGAATATGCAAAATCTGCTATGGACCAATAAAAATGAATGAAGTACTCCTATTTAAGTTGTTCCATTTAGAGTAATTGGAACAGGGTAATTATATTGTTTTGCGACTTTTCAATAGATCCCACTAAATCATTGGCTTCTCGATGGAATATATGCCTTATCGCCAATTTTTTCCAAATTTTACATATAAAATGGTATCCTTACAACTTACTTGGATTTTTTATTTTATTTTTTTTAGTTAGGGATAGCGAGATTAGGAAAGGAAACTAACAAGATAAGTATTTCAATAGCTAATCAATGGAGCTATTAAAACTCCTTAATAATTTTCTTAGGTGCAACTAATTCTTCAGCTACTTTACCAGTCGCGCTCAATTCCCAAATAATGTAAAGCATCTAACTAGGAGCTGAATTTCGGCGAATTATGTGTAGTTGTTTATACATGTACCACTTCTTTTGTGATTATTATTATCCTTTAGGACCTGTTTGGCCATAGATTTCCCAAGTAATATTTGGAGAAAAATTTGCAAATAGTGTTTGTCCATACAATTTGTCATTATTTGACAAATATTTTTGGCAAATGTCCCAAATTTTCAAATACTAGTTTTTTTCTAGTGTTTGGGTCAAGTTGAAATTTTACACAAACTTTTATCTTTTACAAAAACACCCTCTATAGTAGTTGTTTGCGTTGTATTACATATTTTTTTACGTGAACACCAAAGTAGTGATGAAATATTCAATGAATATGAAAGTGATGATATGGTTATTGATGAAAATGATGAACAATCGGCTCAGGGTAACAAAATCATGTGTTATGTCTACTTCACGATGTATGGAATGATGCTTGTTGCACTCACTCCAAACTACCATATTGCTCCAGCGTCATTGACACTACTTCTTATTTGTTACAACGAAGATCCAATTGATTTGTAATATAAACTTATGGTTAGTTTTGATAGTTTTTAAAACTTACGGATATAAATCATATTTTTATAAAAAAGTAAAATATGTTTTTCAAATATTATGGCTAAACACATCGTGAAATTTCATCCAAATAATATTTGCCAAAAATATTTGAAAATCTATGGTTAATAATACTCTTGTAATTGTAAAGTGTGACATTCAATCCTTTTAATCTTGATGTAACTTAAAAACAATTCTTAACAAATAGTTTGAATGTTTATTTGTTCTAAAATTTGGGATATTGGTTAATAATACTCTTGTAATTGTAAATTTTCGGATATTGCATAACAGAACAATGAATGAATGAATCGATAGTAACAAAATTAGTGCACTAATTTTCTAGACCAAAGTGGAGCATGTGAATGTAGCAGGATCATACAAAGCAGGAACCAAGTATTTCCTTCCATTTGTACCATGTGCATTGTAGCTTGCCCCTGTTGTTTTGTCCACTAATAAATCTCCAGGATAGCCTGGGTAAGCGCCCTTAGCGTAGACACCAGGGCAAGCAGATGCAGCTTCCAATGGCGCATCTGCTTCGCCCTGATAGTAACCGTTTCCAAATGGGTTCGTAGCAGTTCCAGCTAATAAGCTAGCTAAGTTAATAACCATACCGTCAACACCAACATCGTTGTTTGGTGCACCCAATGGTGGGGTCTGCGGTCCGTAGATGGGCTGGTGGAATGGCCAGGCGCAGTAACCAGGACACAGAGTCTCTGAGTTACCAACCCAAATATAAGCAAATTTGTAAGTTTTGCCCTTAATTACTGCACCCTTAGAAGCCCCATGAGTTCCACACCGATTGACGCAGAACCCATCAACTGCAACATCAGAAGCGGTCAAAACAACGTTAATAGCGTCTTTCTGTTCACCCTTTGATGCTAATTGCACGATTTGCTTTTGGGTCAGTGATTTTCCAAGGGAATAATTTTCGATGAGAACTTGTTTGCCCAAAGAGAGGGAAAGGGTGTTCTTAGAATTGGCAAGATGGTAGTATTTTTCAGTGGTTTTCCACCATTGTGCTACTGAAGGATTGGTTTTCGATGGAGTTGAAGAAGAAAGGGAGTTAATGAAATCGGATACAATAGCTCTTTGGGATGGCTTGAATTTGCCATACCAAATCAAATTGACTGATATTTTGCCAGAAAGAAGTGCACCCTTGTGGTACTGCAACAGCTGAGGTTGTTCTTCTAATGCAGTTAGCTTTCTTGAAGCAAAACACACATTGATGAAAGAAATCAATACAAAAAGTGATAAAATGAAATGGGAAGAAGACATTTTCTTTTCTTTTTAGTACTATTACTCTAGGAAGACTGTATTGAAATTCTAAGTAAAAGAATTGTAGTTTGGATGAAATACAAGGGAATAGAGGAGGGTTATTTATACAGAGGGAGAGGGGAGAAGGGGGTGTGTTTGTGTATGTAATGAAGGTGCTGAGAAAGGTGGAAAAGTGAAATTAAACAAAGCGCGTTGTCATTTTCATTAACTGGCTGCTACGCAACACAAGAAAGATACAATCTTTACTTCTTGACTTATCGATTACTACTCTCGCGGGTCGCTGCTCATCATTGACTTGGGATTAATTAGTTATCTCGGAATAAGTTATTTCACATGTATATGATATACTCTTTTTTCATAATTATGGTATAAATGGTGTTATAAATAATTTTAGGATTGTGTAATACCTTCCACCAAACATATGATAGATTATTATATTTTATGCTTCACATCAAACGACTCATTATTCTATTGAGTCACTCAACAACTTTCTTAACAGAAAATAAGAGAAACACAAACCAATGTAGATATGCTAGTAGCTTGTTTCAAAAGAAAGATAACCCCATCAAAACTATCACTAACAATTTCGGAAAGTTGAAATTACAATATTGCTGCATGACAGCTAACATTTGATAGTAACATATTTAAATCAAACTATGACAATTTGTCTTCAAAAATTGGATTCAGAATAGTTTTTCAAACTTTCACTCGTTAAATTTTTTTTTTTTAAAAAATCTAGTAACAAAATGCATATTCAAAAACAATGGCGTAGCTAGAATTTTCAATAATGAGGTTCAAAATCTGAAAAAATAAATACATGACGTAGCCGAAAGAGGTTCGACTTCTACTATTTATACCTAAAATTATATGTTAACTATGTATAAAGTATAATTTTCCGCTGAAAGAGATTCAGATGGACCCCTAACTATAAGGTGGCTCCACCACTGTCTAAGAATAATTTCAAGATCCAAAAATTTATAACTTCAGCAATTTAAAATTTTAAATTTCAAAATCTGTTGCCAAATTGGTAGAGTACTTTTTAGCCTGATATTTTCGTTTTTCCTCTTAAAAGTATTTTTCAAGGAGGAATAGTATCCGGATAGTTATTCCTATTTAGTTTAATTAATTTAATCAAATGCGCAACTATACAATTGGAAATGAAGGATCTTCACTGCTTGAGTAAGCTTTCTTATCGTTAAAAGAAAATCAAAACTATTATTAAATCACAAGTTTTATATTTAAATCTTTGAAAATTCCCGAATTATATTGTTCTCATCAAATTATAACACTTCCTAATGTGCCAGAGAAAGTGGTTTCAATCTCTAAAAACTAATGAAGCATAAAATTCATCAATGTGGAACACCCAACAACTAATTAGTCCAATTTTTTTTAGTATGTAACTAAATTACACATAACTAATAACTAATACATGTATAAATAAATGAATACATAATTTTTTTTTCTTAACCAATCTCTACGTTACTAAAGTTTCTACCTGCCAAATGACCCTTAACTTACTCTGCGTAGGCCACCAGGTTGTCACAAGGAAAGGTGACTATATCTTTCTTTTCAAAAAAATCGATATTTTCTTTTATTTATCTAATCTTAATAGTATTTTATTTCCTCAGCCTAACATTGCATATAAAATAAGAGTGGAAATAAAAAAGGGAAATGTGTAATTTAGAACTTAGCTTATGGCCTATGGGGTATATCCAAACACCTTAACTATCTATATTTTATTTGACGGGCCTAATATACTCCGTTAGACTTTCCTTTGGATAATCTTCTTTTAGGCAAAATCTTAAATGGCACTTAGGATTACTGTTTACCAAACAAATTACCAATTATTACTAATATTAGCAAACAGTAAAATTGCTTAAAGTAATGAAGAATTGGACAGTATTTGTGAAAGCAAACCGAAGAAATTTGCTCTTCCATTTTCAACCTCAAACAAATAAATGAATCAAAAATTACAGTATTTACTATGCTAGATTAGCTTCTTCTTCTTCTTCTTCGTGTACAACTGGTACTACATTACTACGATTATTTTTTCTAGACTAGAGTTGAACATGAAGATGTAGCAGGATCATATAAAGCAGGAACCAAGTATTTCCTTCCGTTTGTACCATGTGCATTGTAGCTTGCACCTGTTGTTTTATCCACCAACAAATCTCCAGCATAGCCTGGGTAAGCGCCTTTCGCGTACACACCAGGGCAAGCAGATGCAGCTTCCAATGGCGCATCTGCTTCGCCCTGGTAGTAACCGTTTCCAAATGGGTTCGTAGCGGTTCCAGCTAATAAGCTAGCTAAGTTAATCACCATACCATCAACACCCACATCGTTGTTTGGTGCACCCAATGGTGGGCTCTGTGGTCCGTAAATGGGTTGGTGAAATGGCCAGGCACAGTAGCCAGGACAAAAAGTCTCTGAGTTACCCACCCAAATATAAGCAAATTTGTAAGTTTTGCCGTTAATAACTGCACCCTTAGAAGCCCCATGAGTTCCACACCGATTGACACAGAACCCATCAACAGCAACATCAGAGGCGGTCAATACAACATTAATGGCGTCTTTCTGTTCACCCTTTGATGCCAATTGCACGATTTGTTTCTGGGTCAGTGATTTTCCTAGGGAATAATTTTCTATGAGAACTTGTTTGCCCAAATTAAGGGAAAGAGTGTTCTTAGAATTAGCGAGATGGTAGTATTTTTCAGTGGTTTTCCACCATTGTGCTACTGAAGGATTGGTTTTAGATGGAGTTGAAGAAGAAAGGGAGTTGATAAAATCAGATACAATAGCTCTTTGGGATGGCTTGAATTTGCCATACCAAATCAGATTGACTGAGATTTTGCCAGAAAGAAGTGCACCCTTGTGGTATTTCAAGAGCTGCATTTGTGGGTCTTGCACTAAAGCAGTGAGCTTTCTTGAAGCGAAGCACACATTAAAGAAGGAAATAACAAGAAAGAGTTTCAAAATGTTATGAGCAGCCATTGCTGGTTTTCTATTAGAAGCTTATGAAGAGTATTAAAACAGTGTAAAAGAGGAGCTGTGGAATGAGATGAGATTGTTATGAGGAATGAGGGGTATTTATATAAAACAGTGAGATTGAGTCATTTGGGTGTGAGATTATTTAAATTATTTAATTAAAGAAAGCATTAAAATAATTCATGGAGGAACTTGCTAAGAAAGTGACAATTGCTAAAATCAAACGCTATACACTTTTAGGTGAGGATGGAAAAAACTAGCTTTAGCTTGTTTTCGAGCTAGATAGGTAAATAATAGTAATACTTCCTCGTTTTAAAAAGAATGGTATAGTTTAACTTGATACGAAGTTTAAGAAATAAAAAAGACTTTTAAATCTTATAATTTTAAATTAAAATTATGTCAAATGTATAAAATTGTCTTTAATCATATCACGTGAATAGCTGAAATTAAAATGTTATAAAAAAAAAATATCAATCTTTTTGAAATTAACTAAAAAGAAAATGATGCCATTTTTTTAAACGAAAAATAGTAATACTTATAATATCAGAACAAATCAAAAAGAGCAATACAGCTTAGTTTACATCATTTGCTTTTGGTCCATAAAAGTGGTGCCTGAACCTGCAGGATCATATGGATAATAATAATTGAATAACAGCAGTGACAATAAAAAGCAAAGGGTATATTGGGGATTTAAAAGGTACAGAATTTGAGACGTTGAGACTCTACTGGGTGCTTTAAGCAAAAAAAGAAAAAGAATAAAAGGGTATTCACAGGCTGGAAAATAAGAGGTATTGTTATGGGGAAATGTGTGTGGAAATATGACGAAATGGAAAAGAGTCTAGCTGGCAAAAAAGAAGTATCGAGAAATGTGACTGACCATTTTTGTTTACCGTTCATTTTTACTTGTTCATATTTGATATATTACGCTCTTTACAAGATAATAAATAGAAAATGATAAATTTTCATCATATTTTACAAGTTAAACATATAAAATTAAATGACAATATTAATATATTGAACAAGTAAAAATGAACGGAGAAAGTCTATCGGAGTTGGGTGAGGCTACTGGCTAGTTTAGTTGACACAACAAAAGTCTCGTGAGATGCATATATGACTGCAGTGCAGCAGCCTAGTTAGAGCTGAGCGAGCTGTGAAATTGAATAATCCAGCTGGATCTAGCTATCACGTGACAACTGTTATTTCCTATTTTGTAAATTACTTTCTTTTATCCACTTCTTTCTTTTTCTTTCTCTTTTATGCTTTATGCTCTTTTGCTTTTTAGCACTTCTCTTTTTAATTTTTTTCAATTATTACAGTATATGTTTTCAATACAGATCAAGATAAGAAAATTGAAATATAGTAATTCACAAATTAGTGGAGTATTTTGAAGTGAGAGAAAATGAAAAATTAACTTCAGAATTCTGTTATAATTACTAAAACTAGTACTAGAAATTAACATTGTACCTATGATCACGTCCATCTTATTTGAAACAATAAATGAGATTAAAGGACCACTACAAAAACTTAATGGAAGTCAGAACTCAGAACCATTTAGTTCTTTGTGATTGTTTGGTACGACGGAGGAAGGATAGTAATTTCGAGATAAAATATATGATTATTTTATTTTGTGTTTGTTTATGGGTATAAGTTTGTCTCAAATTGTAGTAGGTTATTTTTTTATATATATATATGAGGGGATACGTAATTCCATGAGACATCTAAATGAATAGTATAATAATTTTGTCTATTCCACCCTCCATACAAAAACAACTCCAGGAAAATGAACTCTAGAGATAATTACAAATATTTTGCTTGAATAAACTCATTATACATAAAAGAAAATAAACACTCCCAAGTTATTCATCGAATTACAAAATGCTGCCAGATTAATTATATAATGTTAATTGTATGTTCTCAAGGAAACCATTCTCTAATCCCACAATAATGTAACTGGATTAGATTATTATATTGTGCATATCTATATATATATATATGTAAAATGGATAAACTAGCTGTTAATTTTTTTGTGCAGTAAGTGAGTATCCAGAAATGTGCGCATCCAATGAACTCAGTAATCAAGAATGCTAATTAAATTTATTTTAATTTTAATTTTTCACACTTACCAATTCTTAGTTGTCCGGTACATTGCACACTATATGTCAGATGACACTCCATCACTAAGATAGTATATCTTATAATTAGGCAATTGAACAAATACAGCTTATATTAGATGAGATAAAAATTAACTACTTCCTCTGTCTCATATATTTTATATTTTTCTTTTCCATGTTTCTTAAGTAACTTTAAATTTTACTATTATAAGTTACACTTTATTTAAGAATAAAATTAAGCTAATCTTATTTTCAGAATATTTAATATTTAAAAAGTATTTGAGACAAATATTTTTAATTACCTTGATAACTAATACGAAACTAAGGGAGTATCAATGCTAATGAAATTAGTCACGGATACAATAGTGCAATTTCCTTGGTGACATCACACTACGTTTGAACAATTATATATGTATAGTTTTGAAGCATATTATCAAAAAACATCATGGGGAAACTAGAGACATTTTCAAAGGTATCACGTGCAGTGTTTAAAGTTCAAGAAATGAGGTTCACGGGACATTTTTTTTTTAAAATCTTAAATTCATAAGATAAATATTACTTACTATTTATATCAATTGGATAATGTAAGATTTGCTAACTTTCTCCCTTTCAACTTTTTTTTTTTTTTTTTGGCAATTGGATGAGCCGATAATTGTGAAGAGGGAGAGATATACGTACTAATATTTCACATCACAAATATACGTTATTTAATTTTTGAAGATAAAGTGATATATGAACATGTGAATTAAATAGTTAAGGTGTGTAGGAATGGGAGTTCTGCATAAATACACGAGCCAAAATTAATAATAGTGTTTACTTTTACTTGTTTTGAATGTATTTTATGCGCTCCGCTAAAGAAATAAAATATATAAATTGTATATATATTTTATCTTATGTGATGGTAATATTATTTTTTTATATAATTGTGGTGTTCGAGCTAATTTTCGTGCACTTCAACTAACTCTACGAGATTCTTGCCATTTCTTACCAACAATAAAATATCAGAATCCTCGGAGTTTTGAGTTCTCAACCTCTTCATCCACCTCTTGGTTACCTTGATGCCATATTTGATAGTAATACTTATGAATATTAGTATTTCAAAAAGTCTTGAAAAATAATTTGGGCAATGTGTTAAAAAATGATAAAACTCTCACATTGATGATTAACAAAATGAGTGGACTCTTTAAAAGGCTTGGGTAATCCTTCTTCCTTTGAGCTAACTTTTGGAGTATGTTAGGTCTAACACCTAATCTAACATGATATCAGAACAGGATCCATCTCACTCAATATTGGGGGCCCTAAAATCAAAAAAAAATTCGCACCAGATGCTAAGCATTAGACGTGAGGTAGAGTGTTAAAGAATGACAATTTCATGTTGGTGGTTAATGAGATGAATTGACTCCTTATAAAATTTGGACAATCTTCTTTCTTTTGAACTAGCTTTTGGGATATAAGTTATTTCATACTATGAATGATTAATATAAAAAATAAAATTTAAAAAATATATTATTTTTGTATAATAGATGAGTAAAAATAAACAGAAAAGCAGAAAATGAGAGAATAGATAAAGTATGGGACATAATTTTTTCTTTTTAATCTATTTAAAAGAAAATGTTATCTTTCTATTATTCTATATTTAAAATAATCTAATTTTTAGTATTAATCTTTGCCTCCAATGAAAAAATCTGTAACCACAAAAATATGTTACGCCAGAAATTTTAAAGTCCACTCAAGAACGAAAAGTATTACTCCGTACAAAAGATTTAAAAAGCAAAACTATATTATTATTATTATTATTATTATTATTATTATTATTGTTATTATTATTATGCGGTCTAGTTGCAATGCCCTAAAACCCCGGTAACCGTGACTTGGAGCTAAGAAATGAGCGTGTCTCACGGATGTTTCATATTCTTTTCTCAAAATTATAATTTCCAGCTGTGGATACACCATCCTAATAGTACTATTTAAAATCCCTATGTTTCATTATTCCTAAACATTGCTTACCTCATATTTATTTTTTATTTTTTTTAATTATTACGAGGGAACCTATGATATTTTTTTTAATTTTTTTTTGATGTTGTTCACCATGTGTTTAGAGTCTGTATTAGAATCTCGATTAAATTTAAATCATCCACTTTAAATCCATTCAAGTTAGCACTCCCTACAAGATTTTTTTTTTCATTTCAAACTCAAATTAAAAAACTCTAATTAAGAACGGGACAGTCATATTATTGTACCACAATCCTATTTATAAGATTCTTTAGTATTATTATATATATTATATATATGGTTGAGAAACTATAAAAAACTAAAAAGTCTACGAGGAACGTACTACTTTGAATTAGAGCTTAACTAATTACTTATGATATCCAGCATCATCTTAGCTGTAAATGGTCCAACAATTTAGGAACTTTTTGTCTATATGTACCTAAATTTTAAAAAACTTCTGGAAAACTCTGACTATATGGGTCTAACGCCTTGTTAGTTTGCAGCTGGTACAATATTGTATTGGCGTTTTATTATGTAATAACACACATAATTTAAATAAATATAGAATTTGAATATATTTATATTTTTTTGTCGTTATATAATACTTACATATCAGTCATTCAAAAAATAAACGTAGAAATATTTATTATAAAAAAGAAGTTAAATGAGGTATATAACAAAACTATTAAGAGCAAAAAGAAAAATGAAAATAATAATAATGTAATTATATGATCACAATAATATAATCGTTTCACAACATTATAATTTTCTGTTAGTACATAACGATGAATTTAATAGTATAATACATAAAATTTACTTAACATTCAAAATTAATATATATTTAAACTAACACAATAGTAATAACCATCCAAACAGCTGATTTCTTAGTGTGAAGTGTGAACAACTGGATTTCGTTATTCCTAATATATTTTATCCTCATATAGACTATTCCGA